GACAGGAGGTTGGAATTCCTGCCATGGATTGGGAGAAGTCCTGACCTGAACCCAATAGAACATGTTTGGGGCATCATAGGCAGACGACTACGACAATTACCTAATGCACCAAACACATTAGATGAACTGTTTTTGCGGTTGGTTGAAATTTGGGATCAAATTGATCAAGAAGAAATCAGAAAGATTATTCTCAGTATCAGAGATCGTTGTCAAGCAGTAATAAATGCCAGAAATGGCAATACTTGATACAAGTTCACAGTAGTTGTATTTTCTTCAACTTTAAAAATTTCAATTTCGTCACTAATTTATAATGTTAGTTTGTTTGTTAATTTCAATACATTTTTTGATTAAAAAAAGAAAAGTTTTATATTTAAGATGTTCTAAAACTACCATAAAGCCAAAAAGATCAAACAAAATTTTTTTCATTATAACTCAAAATAAGAATTTTAAAATTATCCGTTAATTTTGGAGCGCAGTGTATTTCTAATGACCAAATGAGCAGTAATTACACTTTGATACTTAAAAATCAAAAATAACAGTGTATAAATAAAATATATACAGCCAACAACAAACCTTCATTTCATATAGCTAAGTGTAGTTCTTAAGGCAATCTCATAGCCAGACCTGAACATTTGTGAAATGGTAAAATTTGCCATCTAAATTACATATAAGACACAGTTAACAATATGCTTTATCGGCTGTATCTGGTCACTTAAGTGATAGTGTAAGTTTTTAAATGTTCCTTAGATTGATTTATGTTTAACAGTTACAAACCTTTTAAAATCAGAGCTGTATGTGTGTCTTCAAAAGCTTTATATTGCTTTTTCCCTAGCCAACTATATTTTCCTTGAATTTTATTGCAGACCAGCTTCTTATGGCTTCTCCTAACAAATTCGTTTATGGTTTCCTCACTAATTTTGGAAAGCTCATTATCCTAAAATATAAATCAACATGTAACAGTAATCTAACTACCCCACAAACTTGATCATCCATGCTTAATTATTTTAGTTTAAACTATCTAATAAAAAAAAACAGGCTCTGTTAAAAAATCAATCAAACGTTCATTTGCAAATTTTCGTTTCTCATAACCATGGTAAATGCCTATTAAATTTACAATTTTAGGATATATAAACAAATTATACAAACTAGGATAAAACTGACTGCTAAAACCCTTTTTTAGTGAGATTTCATCAAAATTTACAAACATTTCTATAACATGGTTTTATTGTGAAGATAAAAATATGTTTGAAATTTGAATCATATGGATCAGAGTAATTGTTCTCTGGGTGAAGCAAGAAGGGTTCTAACATCTGAACTTAAATGAGAAAGATCAGGAACTTCTTTATGATTTTTTAATAAATCACCTAGTATTAAAGGACAAAGTCCAGTTGCATAACTTATTAGAAAAATTAAAAACATCTCGATAAGGTTCTCCAGAATTCTCGTTACAACCATATTTAGACCCTTCTTCAGTTTTATTAAAAAAAATGCTTTGTAAAGTATCATTGGAATAGTCGGCCACGTGGTAATTTGGATTATTTTAGGTACTTAACATGTTAATAAAAAGTTTAAATCGGAAGTATTGTAACCAGAACTAATTTACTTTTAAACATAAACAATTTTAAGAAAAATTACTTACCTTTTTGTAATAAAATAAAAACCAAATTCGAAAATAACCTAACAAAAATGGTACCAAACCTTTAACAATATACTATCAAATGAAGCATCAAAAAGACTAATGCACTGTACACTGCTTAAATAGAGTTCTTTTATTTCTTTTATTAAAGCAATAATAATAATAATAATATGATTAAACTGTACGATTTGTTTAAATAGGTATGACATGACAATGACAATATTGACAATTAATTTAATATCATCAATCATCACATGATTCACATGTCATATCACGTCATTATTTTTCATTATTCTGTCTTTGAAAAGACAAAAGAGACAAATTATTCTGTGGAAAAGATTATCAAGATTCATCTTGTCGATAAAAATCATATTTTTACTTATTAGAATTAGCAAACATATATCTTGATAACTAGAATAATAATACACTTTACCTAAAAACAAAAACATGTTTTGGATATATTAAACTATACAATTTTTAATTAATCATGATTTAACCTTTTCGCTTTTAATTATTTTATTAACGTAAATAATTTTTTATTTTATTGAAATATTTGCCATTTGATCCCATAATTGGTAAATGTCGGATGTCCAGAAAACGTCCTAGTTCGGACGTCCAGGGGACGTCCGAGTATGGACGTCCCCTGGACGTCCGAGTACGGACATCCAGAGAACGTCCATATTTAGTCCACCCAAAGTACGTCCCACTTCGTACGTCCATAGTACGTCCATTTTACGTCCAGGGACGTCCGGATCAAAACTGGACGTATATTGGACGTCCATAGGACGTCGTGTGTTACTAGGGTTGAGTGTGTAACTTATCGTAGGAACTTAATTTGAATATTACAATTTGCGAACGAAAGCGAAAACACCATAACACTTATTCACATATTACGGCTTCCCGGTCAATTGCGTAAACTGCAACGTGGAGAATCCTCTCCGAACTTTTGAAATATAGATGTTAGCCCTACGAACGTCGCTTAATCACTGTCGGTGTACCTGGTCGCCTCCCTCGCCCCGCTGGAATTTTTTTTTTTTGTTTATGCATTTTGAAAAGCCGGTCTGTCGTCAAGTGAGCGCTGTGGGCGGGGATTAACATTCTCAGAAACAAGGTCTAGGTAGACTGGATTTATTTAGGTAACCGACGCGAAAATAGAATTATTTAATACAAAATAGAATTGTTGGTTTGGAGATATAGTTCTCCAACAATTAATTTGAAAATTGTTTTACTCAGGAATCACTTAACGCTCAGATTTGATGAATTCTTCTAAAAACCATGAATACAATTTGGTCTTACAGATATTATCAAATAGATATTTTTTTTCACTGAAACAAATGACGTCAACTGATTACCTGTACCTTATGCTTATTTATTTATCGTATGACATACAATAAGAACACACAATTAAAAAATCAATATAAAAACGTTACATGAAGTATTACAAACGAACATCTAATGTATTATTAATATAATGTAAAACATTTTCGGTCGCATTCAGGAACTCATTGAAAACTCCAGGGAATCACCTTCGGGATACCTTATGCTAAGAAATCAATACAAAACAAATACTTCGAAGTGAGTGTCTTTTATTTTTAACTAAGCTTTCGTCACATAATTTTGAGCTTTGACAGAACTACGCTAGAGTAGAAAAATATTCTTAACAGTAAAATACAAGATTTCCTATTAACTAACAATTCAACTATTTGGTAAGTTGCAAAGTTGTAAAAACATATTGTAAGATATGTTTATAATAAAGTAAGGACTTAGAAGCATAATCAGATAAAGAACGTTAGATTAAATGAAAAATACAATTCTTCTTCTTCTTAGCGTGCCATATCAGAATTATCTGACGTTATTGATTACTATTGCGAAGGTTCTCGTTTTTTTGCAATATGGAATAATTGTCCCGCATTTTATATCCAAGTCTATTCACGAATGTTCCTCAAACGAGAAACCTGTCTCCTTCCTACACTTCTACAGCCCTCTCTTTCGCCTTTAAGGATCAGTTGTATCATTTTATATCGACTTTCCCTTACTATATGTCCCAGATAAGACATTTTTCGATGTTGAACAGTCTTTAGTAGTTCTCTACATTTGTTGAAGCTCCTTAATACTTTTTCATTAGATTTCCTTGCTGTCCAAGGTAACTTCAGCATTCGTCTATGAACTCATATTTCTAATGCTTCAACTTTGTTCATGATCGATAATTTTAACGTCCACACTTCTGCACTATACAAAAGTACGGACCAAACATAGCACTTAACCGTTCTTTGTCTTAGTTCTAAACTGAGATGATTATTGCAAAGATATGTATTCATTGCTATTCCACGTTTTATTTCCATATCTAGATCTAGTTGGTCCGTTATCACAGTTCCCAAATATGTCATTTTGTGAACTGTCTCAACTTGGACTCCGCTAAATTAAAGCTTTGCATCAGGATGTGGGTCACGACTAAACACTAAAAAATTGTTTTTGTTTGAGTTTATTTTAATGTCCATTTCCTTTGTGTAGATATCTCCAATTTTTACGATAGCAGTTTGACTTCAGTACAAATTTTTAATGACATGAATATCCTTGTCATCTATTCCGATATTTTTCAGTATTTGAATTAATTTTACATGCTGTACTTTATCGGATACCTTTTGGTAGTTATTGCGAAAATGCAATTACTACGAACTTTTCTAGTAGGCTTATTTAAAAAATCTGACACAAATCCATACAGAAAAAAAAATAGATAACTAAGTTCATACAATATTTTATCTCGATAACTTTGCAAAACCCTAATCGTAAATCTCAGTAGAGTATTTTCAAGAATTTCTCAAGTATTTACTGGTTGTACCACTTAAATATTGTAATCTCTTTTTCAGTTTAAATATATAGTTCCCATTTTTCTACCTTTATCAAAGTATCATTCTGTTGTTTTCAAGGTAAGTATAGTTTATATGATATTTTTATTTATATTTCATTTTTATGGCTGAACAAAAACTATTTTTATATTCCATATTGTTAGTTTTCATAATTTTCATATTATATTATTATTGGACAAGTCATTCATGTTTTCAAAAGAAAGAACAGTTTTTCTGTTTTTACAAAAAAAATTGTTTTTTATGTCATCTTCATCAAATTGATTTTATTCTTTTTTTTTCATTTTATTTATTCATTTTTGGTAGAAAGTAAACTTAGTACTTAAAAAATATTCCCTCCATTCCTTCGAAAAATTTTTTATACTTCTTTCAATTATTTTTCCAACATTTTTGTATCTCATTGTCTCATTGTCTCCTTTTAAATACTAGAGAATATTTTTATACTAATTTTTATGTGTTCACGTATATTTAAGATATTTTTTGGTTCTAGGACAATCAAAATGAAAGTACTTATCGTCTTGGCAGTTATCATTTTGAGCGCCAGTGCTCTTTCACTAAACGAGCATTGGGAAAGCTTTAAAGTAAGTTAAACAGATATCGACATATCTAAATTATTTTATTCAGACGTTGATTAAAGTTGTTATTTACTCCGTTATTATTAATACATTTTAGGCCCAACATAGCAAAATTTACAAAAACCCAATTGAGGAAAGAGTCCGCTTTTCAGTTTTTCAGTCAAATCTGAAACTTATCAAAGAACACAACGCCAAATACGAGCAAGGACTTGTAGGCTACACAATGGGTATCAATCAGTTTGCCGACATGACCCCAGAAGAGTTTAAAGCCAAGCTCGGTATGCAAGCAAAGAACATCCCTAACATCAAGAAAACTCGTCATATTCAAGATGTAAATTCTGAGGTTCCAGACTCAATTGATTGGAGACAAAAAGGTGCCGTCTTAGGAGTTAAAGATCAAGGAAACTGCGGATCTTGCTGGGCTTTTAGTGCTGTAAGTTTTTACTTGTACCAATACATGTTTATTTAAAGATAAAATGGACCACCTTTGGATAAAAGATAAAATGGATATAGCGTACCACCTTTCGCTGATATGAATATTTCTGCTTCTTGGCATCTTCAGAGCAAACTCATAAGCTCTTGTGGTCCATTTGTCGTATATTTTGTTTGCAACTGCACAAAGTTCTCCTTCCGTGTATCACATCCTAGCTTTCAACTCTGGCGATCCTTTCAACTATATTAAAACTATCTGCTTTTAGATATATATCTTTAGATTCATCATGGTCTATTCTTGGTCTACCCCTTTTGCTGCGGTGCTTAGGAATCCACTTTTATATTCACTTTATTAATCGTTAGTCATTGATGCTTTCGACAGGACCATACGATATCAGCCTCTTGCATTATATAGTATCTTAGATGTTGATATTTATACTCATACGCTCTTTGATTTTAATTTTCGTTATTCTATATTTTCTAATGAGTTCTCTAATTCTGCTAACAAGTCGATCAACCATTTCCTGCAGCAGATTTTCTCATTCTTCTCTACATGCAATTGTAAGTTAATTATGTGTTCTAGAAAGATTCATTCGGGTATGAACAACTCTGTAGAGCACATCCATTGCATGTTCAATGGGATTCATGTCTGGAGAAATCGCAGGCTACTCCAAACTGCGAATATCTTCTGTCTCAAGATAGTCATTAACTACTTAAATCCTATGTGTGCGAACGTTATCATCTATAAATATATAAATTTTACCTATAATTCCTCGCCATAATCTCACATGAGGTTCTAAAAGCCGTGTGTGTCCTATTAGAATCCCGTCAATAATCACCAATTCTGTGCATTCTCCTCTTCCTCTATCCTTCGTTATGATGGAGCGACGTTATGGTATTTGAAGAGATGTTTGCTATCCATTCTTCCCTCTCCTGGGTGCGGTGTGCTGCCTCAGACAGAGAGTAGCCGGCAGCAAACTTTATTTGGTCTGTCCATTGGAGTGGAACCATTCTTTTACCATCTACCTTGCCTTTAACCACCAACCTTTCCATAACTTCTATTCGTCTGCTTGCTAAGCCTAGTAGTGATGTCGAGTTCTGTCAATATTGAAACATTTGTGCGATATGCTGTTAAGGGTATGCGGATCATTCTACGATATACCTACATTGCAAAGGTCATTATACGTCCTGAGTCGAACTTTTTAATGGTCCAAGTTTCTCATTCATAGGTAGCGATGGGAAAGATATGCGTCCGTACTAGGCGTAGTTTCGTATTCCTGGTTATCTCCATATCTTTTCAGATTTTAGTAAGATTGACCGTTGCTGATATGACCATTGTAAGGCGTCGACCTGCCATAATATCTGCCTATAATATAACACTATCACCACCGAATGAAAGTATAAGTAGAGTACATTTTAATTGTGCACATCCTGTTGTCTTTCGTCAAACTCGAATTTGCCAGCTATCACGATTTAAACAGATTCTGTTTTCTACTAAAAAAAGCACAAAATTTCAAAACTGTTAAAGGAACGCTATGTGTTCTTAAGCCCACTGTTGGCGGAGGAAAACCTGCCTTGGTTGTAGCTTAGTAGTCGATGACTCTTCAAACCTTGGTATAAAATTCTTCTTCTTCTATTGCTAATCAAGTCTCCCAGAGCAAGCTCCATTCTATATTGAATTTGTCGAAAGAAACATATTCCACATCCGTGAGTAATCCTTCTGAGAAACAACCACTCTGCCCGCTATGAACCGCCGTGAATAGACTTCTTTAATTAAAGCGACAATTCTGGCACGTTACAACTCTTGTTGCACGAAATTAAATTACGCATTATAAATCCCGTTTTCACAAATTGTACCAAAATAAATTTTTCAACTGTTTACACCTTGGCAAAACCAGATCAATTAAATAGATGTTTAATTTTTTTTATTAATAAAACTCCAACAGGAATATTACGATTATTGCTATCTGATCATTCACTATGATCAATAAGAAAATTAGTTCTATATACAAAATATTACAAAAAAACTTATCTAAGGTTACATTCAGTAATATTCCTTAGGCTCTAATACATTATAGTACTACTAGCTAACGTGTACACTTTAGCCGCACTTTGCTCTGCTTTTTCACTTTTACTCACTTATAACACTAACACAAACAGCTTCGTTCTCTTAAGTCTTCTTATCCAGTTGGCGTTTTCTAGGAGTTTGATAGCCTCGACATTTACGTGGTTGGAAAGCCTTTGTTCATGTCTCTCGGCAAACTTACCTATTGTCTGGATAACCGTATCCATCTGGAGGTCTCGCTGAAGAACACAGTTTCTGAAGTACCATAGAACGTTAACGATGTTCCTTAATAATTTATTATGATATCGTTGTATAATTTGGATGTTAGTTTCTTTTTTACAGCCCCATAGCTGCATCCCATATGCCCATATCGTTTTAATGACCTGCTTATACAATAACAATTTGTTATAAGTAGACAGTGGATTTTTTTTTCACATCAACCAGTATATATTTCTAAACTTAATTCCTACCTTTTCCTTCCTAATATGTGCTTTCCAACGTAGCTTGGAATCTAATGTCATACCCAAATATTTTGCCGTATTTGCATAAGATAATTGTCTTCTATTTATACTAATTGGGATATGTTATTCTCTTTTGTTTGTAAAATTGACATGAATAGATTTTGTTTCATTCAATTTGATACTCCATTGCCTTGTCCAGATGTTAATTTGTTCAACAAAGCATGATTGCTGCATCCTCGTAGTGTTGTCCGACTGCTAGAATGCATGTGTCGTCTGCAAATGTCACAATTGTATTAGGTTCTAATGATGGAATATCGCTGGTATAGAGCAGGTATAGCACTGGCCCCAGGACACTTCCTTGTAGAATTCCAGCTTTAACTTCTCGTAATTCTGAATATGCTTCCTCATATTTAACTGGAAAATATCTGTCGAATACATTTGATCCTAGTAGTTCAGAATCTTGTTTTGGTAAGTAGCATCTCATTTTATGATATAATACGTCATGCCACACTCATCAAAAGCCTGCACTACATCGAAGAAAATTGTGGAATTGACTTTTACTTCTTCTAGAGCTTTTTCTACTATATCTGTTAGTCTATGCACCTGATCTATGATTGGGTGGCTTGCTCTGAAACCCCAAACTGATTATTAGGAATTATATTTTTTTCCTCTATAATCGGTTTTAGTCTCTTCAAGAGTAATTTTTCATATAATTTAGACATGATAGGTAACAGTGAAATATGCTTATATAAAAAAGCTTCTTGTGGAGGTTTTCCTGGTTTTAGTGTCATTATAATTTCTGCCACCAGTCTAAAGGATGCGTTTATAAGATCTGTTAATTTTATTATAGCTTTCATTGGAAGTTCTGAAGCTATTTTCTTGTGGCATTTTACATTAATTAATATTTAACTGGGAATAAGCCACAATTAAAGATGAAAATACGTTTATTGACGTTTCAATTTCTCAAAATTCTCAAAGTTCTTAAAATACAAACAGTAAATTAAACAAATTTTGTTTTTTGTTACATAGTGAAAAATTCTTCTAATAATTTAATTTTATCTGACTCATTTATATTGACAATTCACACATACATTATGCATTTTAAAGTAGACGACTTTAAAATGATATTGCCATAATTGTTGAGTTGCGCTCCTGGGACGACTTTACTTATAAGATAGTTCATTCTATTATATGAAATCAACTTTAACTTGAGAATATCCGTCAGAAAAAAATCATAGCATGTAATTCGTCTGTAAAAAGACAAACACATGACATGATGACAGTAAAATTCTCCTGTTAGTGATTCCATAGTAAATTATGAGGGAAAAACCAGGAAAAAAACCTCATAATACTATCCCGACATGGTGAGTATTTGTTCGTGCATTTAGTTTACCTTCAATAAACACCAAAATTCTAATTTTATATGTTTCGTTATTTAAAAAACATAAATGATGTATCCTCTATATGTTACTGACTTACTAATACTGGTGTTTTCTTATTAATAACTTCCTCTTTCAATGATGGTAACCAGATCCTACTACATTCTGCCGAGGAATTTGCGACACAATTGGCCTCATTTAGCATTATTAGAGCCGCTACTTTGATTTTTCTTTTTTTACCATCCGTTTCTTTTAGGACTACATTTTTGAATTATTCCATTGAACCCTATGTTCATTATCCCATGCGTGTTTACATATTTGTGATATATCAAATTCTCTATTTTTAATATAGGATTGATGTTCACTTATTCTAACATTTAATGGTCTTGATGTTTCACCTCAAAAAACTGATCGCATTCACAAGATATTTTATAAATGCAATTCTTTCTCCTTTCTTGTTCATTGTTAGGTTTGGTTTTGGACAAAATATATCTCAACGTGTTTGTTGTTTTGAATGTTGTTGAAATGTTGAATTTATTTCCTATCCTTTTAAGTTTTTCTGATAATCCTTTTATGTACGGTATTGTTATTTTCCTCGTAATATTCCTTGTATATGCTGTAGGATTTTGTTCTAAGTTGTTCTGTTCTATTCGATCGATTGTTAAAAATTCCTTATTTATAAACGATAAAGGATAATCATTTTTAGATAATCATATAAAGAAACATATAAAATCAGAATTTTGGTCTTTATTGAAGGTAAACTAAATGCACGAACAAATACTTACCATGTCGGGATAGTATTATGAGGTTTTTCTCCTGGTTTTTCACTCATAATTTACTATGGAATCACTAACAGGAGAATTTTACTATCATCATGTCATGTGTTTGTCTTTTTAAATACGAATTACATGCTATGATTTTTTTCTGACGGATATTCTCAAGTTAAAGTTGATTTATGTAATCGAATGAACTATCTTATAAGTAAAGTCGTCCCAGGAGCGCAACTCAACAATATTGGCAATATCATTTTAAAGTCGTCTACTTTAAAATCCATAATGTATGTCTGAATTGTCAATATAAATGAGTCAGATAAAATTAAATTATTAGAAGAATTTTTCACTATGTAACAAAAAACAAAATTTGTTTAATTTACTGTTTTTATTTTGAGAACGATTTCCAAAGTGGAAATTGAAACGTCAATAAACGTATTTTTATCTTTAATTGTGGCTTATTCCCAGTTAAATAGTAATTAATTCATTGGAAGTTGCTTTAACACTTCTTCAGTAATTAGATCAACTCCAGGAACTTTCTTTGGATTTATATTTTCTATTTCCAAATATAATTCTTCTAGAGTTACAGGGGCTAACCTGCATTTTATCTTGATCAGGGAGCTCCCAGTTAATTATTTGTTGTTCTTCATTTGGTTGAAAAGTATTTTCTAGATGGTCAGCAAACCTGTTGGCCTTTTGTATATTGTTTCTTGCCCAGCTACCATTTATATTTCTAATTGGTAGATTCTGTAAAATTAGCCTTTTTATTCGTTTGGTAGCCTTACACAATGAGTAATCAGTAGCGCTATCTTTTGATAGTTCACTTAAATAGATGCTAACCGATTCGTTTTTAATTTTTTGAATTTCTCATTTTAATTTTTGTGTCTAGAGCACCAGTTGATAAAACTAGATTAAATAATGCCACAAGAAGATTAAAATTGGGTATTTAAATAAAATAAAAGACCAAAATAGGTGTATTTTAAATGAAAAATATTTATTAAGTATATAATAAACATACGGATTTACAAAAATGTATGTTTGGAAAAGTGTCAAGACTAATTAAAATATATTTTTTAAGAAATTGGATGGTTTCCTTTTTCTGTTGAATGAGGTTCTCCCACTGTTTTTTCAATTTACATTGATGACTTTGAATTAGATCTTTTAATTTTTCTTTTATTCGTCTTCTACTTGTAGAAGCCTCATTTTTGTTATCGTTAAGTATATCTGTTTCTCTATCTCTATTGTCTATTTATTTCTATATATATATATATATATATATATATATATATATATATATATATATATATCCGGTTTTTTTAGGCGTTACGCCTGTCCGGTAGGGATCTATGGAGGAGTATCACCGAGACGCAAGCCCTTATCTCTTGCCGTACTGCTCCACCATAGGCCGATCAGAACCCAGCATATCCTAGTCTAAGCCGCAGATTCATCTAGAATTTTAAACTGCTGCGTTAGACTTTTTGTTTTCTGTACACCGAGCTTGGGCTCGATCCCACATCCACTAAACCATTCGACAGTGAAGCGAATGAGAGGCAGCCGCACAGCCCGCTGAGCTATCTGACCGACCTATTTATTTCTGATTTCCAAAATTGTTCTCTATCTTCCATCATTTTTTTATATTCTTCCTTCATTCTTTCTAATTCTGCTTCATGTTTTTGAGTTACCTTCTCATAATTGTCAGTTTATCCATCAATCTTCTTAGTTCAAAAATGTCTTGGTCTTGCTGTTTTACAATTTCATCTTTGTAGAACTTATCTTTCTCTTCCAGTGCATTTTGTAAGGTGTGAACCTCATTTAAATACTCCGCGTATTTCTTTACCCACTGCGCTTATACCCTTACCCACTTACTCATTCATAAAAATTAAATATTTAAATCAGTCTTGACACTTTTCCAAACAATGTAAAAACTTAAATACGGGCGGTAATGCATAACTTTTGAAACCATGTGTATAACACAAATACTCTAACTATATACATATTTTAGACCGGTTCCCTCGAAGGACAAAACAACATTATCAACGGAGAATCAATAGCTCTCAGTGAGCAAGAACTTTTGGATTGTTCCACAGACTACGGAAATGGTGACTGCCAACAAGGTGGTCTTATGACCAACGCTTTTGAATATATCGAAGACTACGGAATCCAATCTGAGCACGAATATCCCTACGAAGCGAAACAAGGACAATGTAGACGCAGCCTTCACAAAGCTGTACTTGAAATTCAAGGTTACAAAGAAGTAGCTGATAATGAAGAAGCTTTAAGACAAGCTGTTGGTAAGTTAATTCTACTACCTATATATTAAATTCTTGTACCATTAACAACACCAAAAATCCTAAGATTTCCTAATTATAATTCTACAAATTAGTCGACAATTTCGATTCAGAGTCTCCGCCAACGTCGCTCTGATGATACCTAATGAGGTTAAAATACGCATAAGCGGCTGGCGGATTTAGTGATGGGAAGGCCTAGTTCGTTTCGGTGACCCAGGTCTTCCAGATCAATCATTAAAATGAGCCGTTCATGAAGATCCGTTCATATGAACGAAATTTGTTGTGTAAAGGTAAAGTGTGTAGAGTTTAATATTGTTTATAAATCTTTTTGAGAGTATATGAATTAATGACAATGCAGGACACATTCAAAAAGATGCATGCATAAGAGACGTTTATTCGTAAACACTAGACAGGGTCATTCATAGGGTCATTCGAACGATAGAGTCACAGAACCTCATTGTATCAATCACGAGTCTTCGAAAGGATTCAATCTTTGTGAATGTATCGTTCGATGGATCGATCGTGACCTTCTTATCACTAGGCGGATGCTCTGCATTGAAATTAAATATAATACTGTGTTTCTGTTCTTTACCATTATTACCATTATTTAGAAAATGCAACAGTTGTAAAATATTTTTTTAAACAGTAACAAAAATTCTATTTTAAACTTAAATTTTGCACTACTCTTTATTCATCTTTTCTATTTAAGGTACTGTTGGTCCTATTTCTGCAGCCATGTACGCTGATCCAATCCAGTTTTACTCAAGTGGCATATTTGACGACAAAAAGTGCGTAAACGACAGTGGTTACTTGGATCACGGAATTCTCGTCGTAGGCTACGGTGAGGAAAATGGCAAGCCCTACTGGATTGTCAAAAATTCATGGGGTCAAGACTGGGGTGAGCAAGGCTACTTCAGGCTGCTCAGAAATGCTGATTTATGTGGTTTAGCTTTAATGACAAGTTATCCAGTTTTGTAAAAGTATAGTAGTTTTAGAAGTAAATATAGTGGTTAAAAAAGTATTATTGTTTTTTTAATTTGTTCATCTTTCTATGAATTTAGTACTAATAATAAAAATTATCGTGGCAAATGATTTTAAAGGATAATTTAATATATAAACTTAAACAAAAATAATAAATCTAAAATATATAGTGGGAGGTCAAATTATTATGTGTATACACAAATTTTTGTATTTTCTTCTTTTTCTGTCTCTTTCTCCTTATATGTAGGCTTCCACGATGTGATTATTTTCATTCTTTTCGGATATTAACCTCTTGCATTATTTAAATTATCATCCCATCTCTTCTTTGGATTTCCAACTATTTTTTGATCATTTGGTGATTTGTCTTGTACTATTCTTAATATAAAATTTCTCCGAGAAATTTCTCAGAGAAATTTTATTAAAATCAGTAAGCGAACTGTTTACTACATGCTTACATGCGGGTACGATTCCAAAAGACTGGAACAATGCACTAATAGTCTTGTTACACAAAAAAGGCGATATTACTAAATTAGAAAATTATAGACCCATCAGCCTCTTGACACATATGTACAAACTCTTTATGAAAATCTTAACAAAGAGGCTAACACCTAAACTTGATTTCTATCAGCCCAAAGAACAGGCAGGCTTAAGGGCAGGATATGGCACAAATGACCATTTGCATACCATAAAGATCTTAATAGAAAAGTACATCGAGTACAACATACCACTGGTTCTTGCATTTGTCAATTACGAGAAGGCTTTTAATTCTGTACAGTTTGAAACAATACTGGAAGCCCTAAATCAAAGCCGAATAGATTACAGGTACACGACACTAATCAAAAACATCTATCAGAACGCTACATCAAGTATACGACTGCACGAAGACACAGAAAAATTCAGCTTAGGTCGAGGAGTTAGACAAGAAGACAATATTTCACCAAAATTGTTCACGGCAGCTCTAGAGTCAATATTTAAGGGTACTCAATGGTAAGATATGGGCATCAATATAGATGGAGAAAGATTAAATCACCTAAGGTTTGCAGATGATGTTGTATTAATCGCAGATAACTTACATGATACAGTTTCTATGATGCATTCGCTTAAAAGTCTGTCTGAAAGAGCAGGATTAAAGATAAACTTTGAGAAAACTAAAATTATAACAAATCTCGTAATGAGTGGAAATATAACTATTGACAATAATACCATACAACAAACAGACACTTACAAATATCTGGGACACGAAATCAAAATAAGCAGAGACAATCAAACACATGAAATACAGAGGCGAATAGGTCTAACATGGGCAGCATTTGGCAAATTAAGCCATATTCTAAAAAGTTCAATTCCCATGTGTCTCAAGCGAAAGGTTTATAACCAATGTGTTTTACCTGTACAAACTTATGGAGCAGAGACTTTAACACTCACGCAAAAATCTGCGAATAAACTTGTTACACAACGAGCCATGGAACGTGCAATGCTGAACGTGAGCCTTCGAGACCACATAACAAACCAACAAATCAGGCGAAGATCAGAAGTTCAAGACGTCATCGAAAGAACCACGACGCTTAAGTGGAACTGGGCAGTGCACTTAGCCAGAACACAAGATGGACGGTGGACAAGTATTATGGAATGGAGGCCCAGAAATTATAAAAGAAGCCGAGGACGACCACCGACTAGATGGACCGATGACATTAAACGTGTAGCGGGAAACTGGCTACAAGCGGCCCAGTGTAGAGAACACTGGAAAGAACTGAGGGAGGCCTATGTCCAGCAGTGGACGCGATTGGCTGATTGATGATGATGATGATGATTCTTAATATGCTTTCTGTTACAGCTCTAACATATATATTTTTTTTTAATATTGCTATGTATATTTTTCTTTTCCAACAAACACATTTCTTTATTAAATACAATGTTGTATTCTATTTAACCTTTCCACAAAAAAATTCGAGTTTTTGTCAAATGTCTAAATGTAAATTTAATTACCTTATAAATTTTTTAAATTGTTTTTTTTTGTTTTGTTTTTTTTTAACATGAATTTATAAAGCAGCAATTAGACTTATATTAACATACACGGCAGAGACACGACGTCTAAAACGACTACTAGAATCAATAGTGATAAAAATACTTCGACGAATATTATGGAAAAGTCTGTTGGATAAGGAGAGAAGCGAAAACATAGGAAGAGCATGCAATATAGAAGACATAAATAAAAAAATAAGAATACGCATTGAAAAAGTTACAATATTTCGGTCATGTAATAAGACATCCAGAGAGATATAACCTTCTACACATTATAATACAGGGTAAGATCGCCAAAAGGAGAGGCCCAGGCCGACGAAGAACATCCTGGCTTCGACAATGGTATCAAGAAACCACCAAAGTTATTATTGCCAATATAATCCTCAACGTTCGATAATCGGATAGGGTACTGAAAGAAGAAGAAAAATAGATAGTTGCCAAACGAAAACAGGAGTGCAACGAGCACAGTAGAATGGCAGAGGATAAGATAGTACGAAAAGCACGAGATAAGTCACCAAATGGACGAAAGAGTTTTGGCAGATCAAGGAAAAGATGGTATGGTAATTTTAAGAATTTATGAGGCAAATATTAAAGAAGAAGCAGGCTTCAAAGTCTACATACAAGAAGGAAGTAGAAGAAAAAGAATATCTTCAAAAACGAGAAAATGCATAGTTATAACAACAATTTAACTAAGATGTAAATTGGAGATTGAAGGTCAGATAATAGAACAAATGATGGAGTTAAAATATCTAGGCTTCATACCATCCAGCTACAAAAATCCTGAAGCAGAAGGGGAAGATCAAGTAAGTAGAACAAACAGAGCCGCAGGTTGCCTGAATGAGCCAATATAGAGAAATAAAAATATCAGAAAAGAAATTAAATTAAGTCATAAGACCAATAATGACATACGTGGCAAAAATACGACCTGACACAAACATGACAAAAAAAATTCCAGAAACAGCAGAGATAAAACTATTGATTAAAAATTAATGTCAAAACACTGTGGGATATATATAAGACATAGATGCAAGGTGAAGAATATCAACGGTTAAGTAAGAGATAGAAGAGTACATTGGGACGATCCCCAGAGAAACGGTTCCCTAATAGGAAGACGGTCAGTAGGAAGACTAAGAAAACGATAGAGCGAAAACTTACCGGAGGCACATTGAGAAGCAGACCGAGTCAAGTCTACACAAAAAAGAGTCTTTTATAATTATTCACTTAATAGTTTGGTTCTTGTCTTATGTTGGAAGAAAGTGACATACGCAATACTATCTTCGGCTATTTTGCTTATTGTTTGTTTCATTTCTGATCGGCTTCGTTGCACTGTATGTATTATTGTCTTGTACATTAGTCACCCTTCTGTTATTCTCGTTATTCTGTCTCTCTATTCAGTAGGCTTTCCCTGAAATTCCTGAGTATTCTCACCTCTGTCGTATCTAACATTTGTTTTGTTTTAAATTTGTCATTTCTCTTCTCCACCGTGTATTTCATAATAGGTATAATTGCTGCTTTGTCGATCCTGCTTTTGTGTCTGTCTTAGGTGATTGTTCTTCCAGAACTTATCATTAAGAGATCATTTCACTTGCGACTTAATCTCTTAACGCCTCGTTCTGTGGGATGTAAACGCGACCACTGGGTGGATTAAGTAGATCAGACGCCGTATATATGATCACAGCTAATCGCAAGCCTGAATAAAAGTGTAGCATTTATGATTTATGGTTAGGTTAGCAACTATGACTCTTCATGCACCATTCTCAAGGAAGAGCTTTAATCAATAACAAAGATCGGGAGGAGGCCGATCAATACTCGGCCTAAGCGAGGTAGGGTATGGTCTTCTTCTTACGGTTCCCTATCCTTAAGGATGTTGGCCATTACATTTGCCCATTTAATCTTATTTGTAGCAGCCCTGAATAGTTCTATGGAGGTCATGTTCGTCCATTGCCGTAGGTTTTTAAGCCAGGAGTTGCGTCTTCTTCCTGGTCCTCTTTTGCTATTGACTTAGCCTTCGATTATAAGTTGGAGCAGTTCATATTTCTGATTTCTTATGATGTGACCAAAATATTGTGTTTTCCGTTCTTTTATTATAAGCATAAGCTCTCTTTCCTTATTCATCCTCCACAAGACTTCCGCATTTGTCGTATGGCTCATGTAGGATATTCTGAGCATTTTACGGTAACACCAGAGTTCGAATGCTTGGATTCTTTTTTGTGTTGCTTCTGTCATTGTCCAGGCTTCAACACCATAGAGCAAGGTGGAGAAAACATAGCACTTAAGTATTCTAGGGTATGGTAGAGATCGATTATTATTTAGTTATAAGGAAAGAAAAGATCGGTGGGCTCTAATCAGTACTCTGAGATAGGGGTAGAAGTTCTTAGCAGATCGATATTCTGGGTTGAATATACAATGTTCCATTACCATTGCGCATCGCGTGAGTGCGAGCATGCAGAGTTCTGGCATTATCGGTACAATATGGTACTTTTGTCATCGTTAAAATCCTTCTTGTTAGCGTTTGAGAACTTTTTATGATTTTTGAGTAGGAAAACAACAAAACATTCTTCAAAACTTCATTCAGCTCCTAATTTAAGAAAATATAAGTGAAAGTAAATCAACAGAAATAAGATATCCACGATTAAAAATCTGGTCAAATAATTTAACACCATTTTGTTGTAAAACCATCATCCAGTACACAAAACCCTTGTTGACTGTTAACCTTCGAGACGAAGACGACACTTAAAGAAGAAGATAAGAGATGCAAAATGGATCATTTTAAATAAATCCGTGGTTATATTATTGATTTTACAATGACTTCAATGGAAATTTGATTATCGTTTCCAAAATCATAAGTGGTTGTTTTGATTGTTTCTGCCACTTAAACAGTCAACAGAAGATATCAATTTGGGTATAAATAATTCATATTTTTTCAAAATTTGTATCGTACCATTTTGTTGTTCTTTGAGGTAAGTCATATTTTC